TCTAGATAATAAAATTATTGTTCTCTCTTATTTGTTATCTAAGGTAACTTGATCCGATTAAGATATACGAATTTTTAACATTTTCTTTTATAATTCGAGAATGGATGGAGATATCGAGATGCGGTTTTCACTAATATTTAGCAAATTTTATGGTGATTAACGGTCTGTGAAGTAAATAGTACCGTTCCATTTAACTTTTTTTCAAAAATCACAAAAATATGTAACCGCTGCAGATAACGACCTCTAGCTTATTTGTTTTAAACCAAGCGGTCTTACTGAAAATATCTTTTAAAAGAGCATGAAATGCTCTTTCAAACAAGACCAAAAATATTCAAATCGGTTGAATGGTCCAGGAGATATTAAAATGTAAACATTTGAAAACGCATTGGCCTCTCCCTCCCTTATTATGACAGATATGAGAAATATCGCAAAACAAAAGCGATGCGGTATTATCCAAGCTACTAAATGATGTTGTCAAAGTTATAGCTCATCATCTAACTTTCTGACATAGCGGGAATTTTATGTTTCTCTATGGCAGTTACGCCCCCTAGCTGTCGAATTACGAACTTCAAAATAATTTCCAGGCATTTCTCTTGCCCGCTTTGCTTATAAGGATTTTTTTCCCAAACCTCTAGGCCTTACCGTTGTTGAGATACAGCCGCTCCGTACGCTTAACGGGACACCTGTATACAATTTTTTTGTTAAGAACATTCAGACATGTTACTTTGTTCCACATAAAATGGGACAAAGTAAGTAGGTACGCCCTGGTTTCTGTGGAAATATATTTTTGTATATTGCATTTTAAGTGAAATTCACGGTATAATAGTATACCACTTTTACCATCACAACATGACGTGGATTTCCCCGAATTAGTTTAATAGTTTGTACAACTATTGCGCCATCTATTGGAAATCGTTCGTACTAAGTGGTACAAGGAAGTACCTGTAATTTGACGTATATAGCCCCATCTTTTAGGCGAAGTGTACACTTAAAATCTCACTGTGTTCTAAAGAAATCTGTAAAGATTTAATTAAACTATAAGATTCAAAAATTTAATACAAAATTTGCAAAAAACTTTTAAAATTAAATTTTCATAAACCATAATTAAAAATTTTACCTTTCAAATTCATTAAAAAGTTAGATATTATTACAAAATTAATTTTTGAAATCAAATCAAAAAGATAATTTAAAATTTTATTCAAATCTTATTGCACATTTTTCGATTACTTTAATTCCCATTTCTAAATGAATCAAACTTTCCAATTTCCTCCTCTCCTTCTCAAATGGTCCGACCTAAACCTACTAAAAACACGAACTTAATCGTATGGCGCTCTCTCACACTCTCAGAGAACTCAACCTCCTCCACCAACACAGTCTCAAATGTGTTTTATCCGAGCTTACTCCTAAAGTTTATGTAATATCCTACACACCGCGCTTTGTGTTTGACTTTCTAGCGACACTTTCATCTCGCCTTGTTTTAAAATTGTCGTTTCTTTTGTCACTTACAACTCTCAACAAGACATTCTTTTATGATCGTTTTAAAACAAATTCTTAAAATCGTTCTAATCAAATGGGTAAGTTAAAAATTTTTTATAATAATCCATTTTAATTGGTAAATTAAGTTCTAAAACGATTGAAACGTTTAATCGGGTATAATTAAGAAATAATTTGAGTTTTTTTTAAGATGTTCTATTTACGTAATCGATGATTATAGTGCTAATTTTATTCTTAATTAATTTAGGTTCAGGAGACGTTTTAGAGGCGACTATCGGGAGTTTCGGGCGATTTCAATGCCGAATTTTCATTTTGGTCGCACTTTTAAAAGTTCCGATATCTTGGTTTCAATTAGGAATTGTTTTTATGGCCCCACCGACTGAGTATTGGTGCAGACAACCCGAAGATTTCAAGTTTAATTTGAGCACGGAAGAATGGAGATCGTTTATTAAAATTAACGAAACGGTTTGTTGGAAAAATTTGTTTCACCTCAATTATTACCTTGAACTTAAGATTTTATTCCTAAAAAAAATTCCATTAAATTATAGATCTTTTGCAGGTATAAACAAATCGATTAATTTTAACTTAAAATAACCAAAGGTGTTTTTTTTATGACGTCTTTTTTGTTTTTCTTATTTTGTTTTTCTCAAATTTCAGCAAAACCCTTGCTTAATGGCAAACGTTGAATACAAAAACTTCTTTAACAACACTTTAACAGCATGCAAATGGGGTTACGATTACGATAAAAAAATTATTGAATCAAGCATGATTTCTGAATGGAATTTAGTTTGCGGGGATGAACATTTGGTTAATTTGGTGCAAATTATTTTTATGGTTGGAGTTTTATTAGGTGCGTTATTTTGTGAATTAAAATTAATATTTAAAAAAATCTTTTTCAGGAGGAATTCTTTTTGGAATTCTTTCAGATCACCAAGGTCGCAAAAAAACCTTAATAATCTGCATTTTAATCCAATCAACTCTCGGTTTAATATCATCTTGGATCCCTTGGTTTACCTCGTTCTTAATCGTCCGCTTTTTTTTGGGATTATCAAACGGGGGAATAACCGTAACTTCGTTCGTGATGTGTATGGAAATCGTATCCGGAAAATTCCGCTCTATCATACCGATCTTGTATCAAATCCCATTCGGATTAGGAAACTCTCTAATGGCGCTCTTCGCATACTTTATACGCAATTGGCGTCAACTCCAATTGGTTTTATCTTCGTTCAGTTTGGTTTTCGTGTCCTACTATTGGTTTTTAAGCGAATCACCTCGCTGGTTAATCGCGACGAATCAAAAAAAGCGCGCCTTTGAAGTGTTAGAGAAAGCTTTGAGGTTCAATCGAATCGAAAATAAGGATTTGGGGAAAGTTTTAGAAAAATTTGTTAAAAAAGATGATAAAAAAGATTTTAGAATTATTTTTAGAGAGAGATCTTTAAGAAAAGTCACTTTTATTATGAGTTTTGAATGGTTTGTTGTTGAAACTTTATTTTTATTGACTAAAAACATTATTATTTTAGGTTTTTTTTGGGAAATATTTTTTATTCTTTCACCCAATACTTAGGAGTAATCGGAAATAACGTTTTTATAAACGTTTCAATAAGCGGATTAATCACAATCCCAGCCTCGATTTTATGTTTATTTATTTTAAAAAAATTAGGGCGGAAACTAACGATGACAATTTCGCAATTAACGATGTCCTTAATTTTTTTTGCGCTAATTTTTGAAAATTGGTTTCCGTTTATTTGGATCAGCGTCATTTTAGCAGCCTTGGGAATCATTACATTAACTGTAAGATTTTGATTAAACACTTTATTAATTAATAATAATCTTTTTTAGATGTCAACATCAGTTTTATTTTTATACACGGGCGAATTGTATCCTACAATCGTCAGAAATTCTTCGGTGGGTTTCTGCTCGATGCTAGCCAAAGTCGGAGCGATCATTTCGCCCTTTATTTATTCTACAAAAGATTACTACAAATTCTTGCCTTTAATTATAATGGCGGCGATGGCGATTTTGAACGTTTTAATTTTAATTCCTTTACCGGAAACTTTAGAAATGGATTTAACTGATAATTTAAAAGATTTGGAGATGAGGTAAATTAAATTTTATTTTTAATTTGATTACATAAAAATGTGATTTTAAGGACTATTAATGAGGAAGGTATCGAAAATGAGAGATTTTTGGAAAATAACCAAAGAAATAAGGATTAAGAGACATAAGTATTTGTTGTATGTATTTAAATTGTATTTAAATAATTTTATTTTTTAATAAAAAAATTAGAAGTTCCAACCTTAGTGTTAGGTTCTTATTCATCAAAGATAAAACGATTTATTTTTAAGTTTCTACAAATGTCAGAAAGACTTAAGAGGAACGCTGTGAAGTTTATGACAGTCATTTTGGATATTCAAACCCAATATTTTGAAAGATTCATCAAAATCCAAAAGCCGTCAAATGCTCTAAATCAAATATATTGAGCAAGGCAGATCCTGGAAAAATCTATAGAATACAACAAAACAGCATACATATGCACCCAGATATAAAAAACATTATAGTCGAGTTAAATGCGGACAATTGTACCTAAATACAAGTGGAAGGTGTGAAGATAACTTTTGGGAGGGATCTGGGAAAAAGAAAGGTTATGTTTGAGGGCTTTGTATGGAGCACAATGTTGTACGGCGCAGAAGTATGGGAATAGAGAGAACGCACAACAAGGAATGTTGTAGGATGTGCAAATAAGGTATTAGAGCTGGGTAGTAGGGTTGGCAAGGGAGACTCCAAGGTATATAGTAAGGGAAGAGGTTAAGGTGGATTTAATAAGAGTGGAGACTGGGAGNAAATGAGAGATTTTTGGAAAATAACCAAAGAAATAAGGATTAAGAGACATAAGTATTTGTTGTATTTAAATTGTATTTAAATAATTTTATTTTTTAATAAAAAAAATTAGAAGTTCCAACCTTAGTGTTAAGTTCTTATTCATCAAAGATAAAACGTCAAAAGATTCATTTTTAAGTTTCTACAAATGTCATAAAGACTTAAGAGGAACGCTGTAAACTTTATGACAGTCATTTTCGATATTCAAACCCAATATTTTGAAAGATTTATCAAAATCCAAAAGCCGCCAAGTCTGGGTTTCTTTTAGATCATGAATAGGTGAGACCATTAAGTTTTCCAAAAATATTACCGCCCAAAAATTGGATCTGAGATACTTTCTCTCCAACCTTGAATCGACAAGAAAGTCAGAAGAAAAATTCCCAAAAAATATGATTCTTATTTTACAATCCAAGTAACAATACCGAAATGTTTGTCATCAAGCAAAATGACACACATCCATTACAGTGATTCAGAGATGATCATGTCAGGACCATTATCGAGGCCAAATACCCCATCAAATGCCCTAAATCAAGTATATTGAGCAAGGCAGACCATGGAAAAATCTATAGAATATAACAAAACAGCATACATGTGCACCCAGATATAAAAAACATTATAGTCGAGTTAAATACGGACAATTGTACCTAAATACAAGTGGAAGGTGTGAATGGAGTGAGATAACTTTTGGGAGGGATGTGGGAAAAAGAAAGGTTATGTTTGAGGGCTTTGTATGGAGCACAATGTTGTACGGCGCAGTAGTATGGGGATAGAGAGAACGCACAACAAGGAATGTTGTAGGATGTGCAAACAAGGTATTAGAGCTGGGTAGTAGGGTTGGCAAGGGAGACTCCAAGGTATATAGTAAGGGAAGAGGTTAAGGTGGATTTAATAAGAGTGGAGACTGGGAGAAGAGCAGTGAAATACGAGGAAAGGATAGAGGGAAGGCCGCATTGCAGGATCCTGGGAGAGTGCTGGAGAGAAATCAAGGAGAGGAGGTTGATATATGTTCAGGGACATAGGGAAGGATATTATAGGAGAGTGGGATATTCAATAACTAGGATCGGCAATAGAAATATGGAGAGAACTGAGGGTTAGGGACAAGGACATACAGAGGCAGGAGAGAAGGTCATAGATACGGGAAAGAAGATATAATGTAAGGTATGGGGAGATAGTAACAGAGGAATTGCCAAAGTATTTGTTGATGGAAGGAAACGGAGAAGGGACGAGATTCCATTGTGGCAATGAAGAGAGAGGGAACATAGATAGGCTGTGCGGACAGAATTGGGGGACGCTGGAACACATGCTGGGAAGGTGTAGCGAGCTGAGGGAGGAGGCAGATTTTGGGAGAGAGGGGTGAGGGCAAGAGATGGATGAGGGAGGTGATTGGGGTGAGATTAGAGGGTGTGTAGATAGTAAACAATAAAGCGCTTATTACTATTATTCAGTGTTGTTAAATACCCGGGTATTTATTTTCAAGGGTAAATTTCCTGGATATATACCCTGGGGCCTGGGGTATTTACCCATGATGGGTATTTAGAGGTATTTATAAAATTTAAATTTAAATTGAGTTGATAGCAGTTTTGCAAGCATTTCAAGAATACAGAGTCGATTATCGATACACCAAACTTGTTTACAACATCTACAAGAATGCTACAATGACGGTAAAACTGCCTAAAATTACTGATTGTGAGTAAAACAAGGCGATACAATGTTGAACCCAATTTGTTCATCACAGTCCTGGAGAATGCATTTAAACAACTGGATTGGACCCAAGAAGGCATAAACATTGATGGCAAATACCTAAGTAATTTATGCTATGCGGACGATATAGTTCTTCTTTTGGATAGCCTTGGAGAGATGAAAGTAATGGTGAACGACTTAAAGGAGGTGTGTGCAAGAGTCGGGTTACATATTAACGTAAAGAAATCAAAATTTATGACAAATCTTGTTCCCAAGTCTAACATCAACATTGGTGATAATGAGATTGAGAGGGTTGACACCTATGTGTATCTTGGCCATGAGGTTCGTGTATGGAGAGATAATCAAATAAGTGAACTAAACAGAAGCCTACGAGAAAATTAGAGACATCTTCAAGAGCGATAATCAATGCGTGTTTCCGCTTATGACGTACGGCTCCGAAACATTAACATTAACGGTAGCCACTGCCAGGAGGCTCAAAGTAACGCAAAGACCGAAATGAAGACCTATGAAGAAGAACTGGCGCAAATGATATGGTCAACATCGTGGCGAAGTTCAACAATAGAATATTCAGAATAGAATCGAATGGAACAGAATAGGGGAGGCCCATGTCCAACAATGACTTGATGATAATAATCATACTGACTTGATCTAATCTAAATTACATCAGATTCGTCTGATGGTAATAAGTCTTCGATTATTAACAATTCCCCGTCTTCAACGTCCATTTCATCATCATCCTCTTTATTTTTTCGGAATTTGATATATTTTTACTTGTATCACTTTTATACGTACTGGTTGGGTATTTACCCTGGGTCGGGGTAAATACCCGGATAAATACCCATTTTATAAATACCTACCCGTCAGATATTTACACAGCGCCCATCACTGCTATTATTACAGGTGGAAGGCAGAAAGACACGAGAAATACCTATGCAGACAGGAATAAGACAAGGTTATAACTTAAGCTCTACTCTTTTCAATCTGCTTATCGACGAACTAATAACTTAAGTAAAGAAGACACTACCGTGTTGACCTGGGAGGACGAGGACAGTCTGCAGAGAATGCTGTTTCAATTTGAAAAACAGCTACCAAGTGCCTTATCAAAATATCGGTAGCAAAGTCTAAAGCACTATCCATATCGAAAGAGCTGAGAAAATGCAAACTGGCAAATATATGGGTGAGTCAGAAAGAATGGGAAATCCGAATACCGGAAACACTAGATACCAAAATATGACGATTTAATCCAACATTTCTTATATAGATATCGGTGGTTTTCGAGGTGGTTGTTGAAAGTAAAATTCTTATATCCAAATTTCTTGATAATTTTGAAGCTTTTTGTAGTATTAACATAAAATTTGGTAGCTTTATGTTTTCGAGCATGATAAATACGATTTGGAAACTTGTTTTGCGATTGCTCGTAGATGGCGCTAAATATACACTGCTTGTTTGATAAATCAAATCATAAGTTTTTTGGCTGTCGAGCTACGACTAATAAGAGCTGCAAATCACAATTTAACATAAAAAAGGTAGTACTTTTAAATGTATTTTTACTTCTTAAATTTTTATTTTTTAACAAAGTTCGCTGTTGTTTCGACAATTGCTTGTTAATTTTCAACATTGCATTGTTCTAATTCCCGTGTGCAATAATCATCTTTACCAAAAGTAAAGTTATAACCAATTTGAAAATGCCACGACTTCATGAGTTTTCTAATAGCGCATATCACTATTAGAAAACTCATTTGAGTTTATATGCTTTGATATAAATATATGATATGATATGATTTGTTGTTTTGCTCAATCCAATTGTAATAGTTTAGCAGCAGCCTGAAGATATTTGGAATTATATCCACTTCGAAGGGAACCTAATCATAAGTTATTTAGGAATCTGTACAATTGCCTTGGCGAAACGGGATCTTTTCGTCCTAAAAGTAGCATTTGTTCGACAAAAAAAATTTGCATTGCCGAAGAAGAGATTCTCTCGAGTTGCAGAAAATCCATCTGTAAGTACACGCCGATTAAGTATTGCAACCGGGATAAGCCAATCGTCAGTGTGTAGTTTTAAAGAAAGAAAAAATCAGGCCATATGATCATGCTCCCGTTCTAATCATGCGACGTTTACAAGACGAGGTGTTTTCAACTGGAAAGACAATCACTTATGGGATCCCGTGAATCCACATGCTGTGAGGGAAAGACATTTTCAACGCGAGTTTAAAATAAATATTTGATGTTGTGTAATCCAATTTTTTCATTGGTCCATTTGAATTCCTTCCGAAATTAAATGGACGTGTGTATTTAAGTTTTCTTGAAGATCATTTACACGAGCTTTTACATGACTCAGATTATTACATGATATCAGATTTATGGTTGTAATTCACCATAGCTCCACTGACAAAATAGTCATGACTTGATTTATCAAACGAGAAGTGTGTATCTAGCGCCCTTTACAAGCAATCACAGAACAAATTCGTATTTGTCACGCTCGAAAACATAAAACTACCAAATTTTATGTTAATAGTACAAAAAGCTTCAAAATTATCAAGAAATTTCGAAATAAGAATTTAACTGTCAACAATCATCTCGAAAACCACCGATATCTGTATAAGAGATGTTGGATTAAATCGTCATATTTTGGTATCTAGTGTCTCCGATATTCGGATTCTCCATTCTTTCTGACCCAGCCTGTATAATAAACCGATATGAGTTTTAAATATCT